TCCCTGTGAGCCCCAGAAGCACTCCCAGGAAGCTGTGACCCCTCCTACCCTTTCCTATCTCTCTCCCACCCAGGAAAGTGGTAAGGCGAGTGAGCCTGACCCAGCGCACAAACCTGTACCGCAAGGAACACGCCCAGGAGGCCATTGTGTGGCGGCAGCCACCACCCACCAGTCCTGAGTCACCTGAGGAAGACGAGGACCGTCAGACAGACGCTGAGCTCCGCCTGCAGCACCCAGAGGTGAGCGCTGGACGTCTGCCCTGCCGGCTGTGGGGAGAGCTTGGCGGTCCACCTGGCTGTGGTCTGGCGGTACTAGCCCCTTGTGGAGGACTGTGGCCTTGTATTCCAGAGGGGCTGGTGTACCCCAGAGGTGGCTACTGCTGACCGGCCTACCACCCCTCCATGTCCACTCCATCCTTCCTGGAACCCGAGGCTGGGGCAGGTGAGGGGTACCACCTCCTCATGGCCTCTGAAGCCCTGGCTTTGCCCACAGGAGGACCCTAAGGACCCCAAGCCGGCCGGGACACACAATGGCCGCGCAGGACTCCCCCCAGGAAGGCACCTGTACTCCAAGAGGCTGGACCGGAGCGTATCCTACCAGTTGAGCCCACTGGAGAGTACTGCTCCTGACGCCGCTGTCCGGGACAGGGCTCACCACACCCTGGCACAGCTCAAGCGTCAGCGAGCTGCTGCCAAGCTGCAGCGGCCACCCTCCGAGGGGACTCAGGTCCCCGTGGTCAGCCTGCAGGACTCTGAGAACTCTCAGCCTGATGGTGGCCCCAGGGCCGTGGGGGACCCACCTCTGCTCAGGCTCACAGCCCCCTGCGAGGAGGCCCCTGTGGAGAAGAGGCCATGTTGTCTGCTCATGTGAGGGGCTGAGGGACCCCCCGGCCGCTGCTCTGGAGCCCCCCGGGGGGACGTCCCCTGGTGCTGCTCTGGAGCCCCCCCTGAGGGGAGACCCCCAGCTGCTGCTCTGGAGCCCCCCGGGGGGTCGTCCCCTGGTGCTGCTCTGGAGCCCCCCAGGGGGACGTCCCCTGGTGCTGCAGGGGACGGCCAGCACAGCGCCTCTCCTGGCTCCGGCTGCCCTCTCAGGGATGGACCTGTGGGCTCGAAGGCCGCAAAGGCCGTTTGTCCTGAGACTTGATAAAGGCTGCCTACCCCCAGGCCTTCCTGTGTGTCTCTGGGGAGGGGCAGGTGGTGCGTCTGGGTTAGGGGCCTCCATGCCTGTGGGTGCATGCTAGAGCTTGCAGGAGGCAGCCCATGCCGCTGTGTGGGAGAACTTTAGACACAGGCGAGAAGCTTAGTCTCCATCCACACCCTCCCTGGCTGCAAGCTGCTTCTTGTACGCTCCTTTCCTGGGGACAGCAGGGAATGTTAGAACCAGGGCTGAAGGTGACCAAACAGCATGGGGACTCCAGCCTGCCAGTGTTTCTCACAGGACTCTTGGGCTGGACAGCGAGCAGAACGGGAACAGGGCCATCGCCAGACACTTCCCAGGGGGATGGGTCCCCAGCCTGGCGTGCAACGTGACCTCGGGCCTGCTGCCGCCTCAGCCACCCAGCCAGGGTGGCACAGGGGACAAGCAGCCGGCCACTTGGGCATGGCTGGCTGGCACAGTGTGGCCCCTTCGGGCCTCAAGCTGGAGGGCCAGTCACCTTCCGGGTGCCCAACAGCATGAGCTGCCATTTTGCCCTCTGAGCACCGGCCAGTCAGCCCTGGGGCTCCTCCTGCCTTCCTCAACGGTTGGAGGACTGGAGTCCTTGGCAGTTCTCGGGAAGGGCCAGGGGCTGGCTGCTGGCTAACTTTAGAGAGAGGCGGTACAGCGGCCAAAGGTCTGCCTGCCACCAGAGCTGCCAGAGAGTGGCGGTGGCTGGCCCTGCCTGGGCCCAGCCCGGAGTAACCTATGTCCCGGCCTGAGGACAGGAGAGGCAGGTCAGTGGGCTGGAAGGCTGCCAGGAGGTGCCAGGTGAGAGGGAGTGTGTGTCCGTCTGTCCGTGTGTCCCCCAGGCCCCCCTCAGGGCTCTGCATGTTCACTCTCCAAGCCTGGAGGGGCAGGTGGCGTGGGCCAGGGCTCATCTTGGATTTGACCAGTTGCCTGCTGCATGGCTGAGTGGCCTGGCTCCCTGATCTTCAGGAATAGATGCAGTCTGTGGCCTTGGTAGCCAACTCTCCTGGGGATTACTAGCTCCCTGCAGGGCCAGCAGAGGTGGGGCTGTGAGGACCAATCATAGCTCACTTCCTGCTCCTTCAGCCAATCAGGAATGAAAGAGAAGGGTATCTTAGGTTATGTCTGGCAGGCAGGGTATGGCTCCAAGCGTAGCCCTGGGACGTTGCATTGAAAGGGCATGTGGGCAGTCCAGGGTGAGTTGTCTGAAGGTCCAGGGTCAGCCTGCCCTGTCTCCAGTCCCCTGCCCCTCCCAACCCCTTGTAGTGCTGATCTGGGACCAAGGTCCGAACTATAGCACCCTTGCAGCCTTCAGGCATGGCTGCCAACCGGGTAGAGCTGGGTCGGAGCTCTCTGCTCTCCTCCCCCAGGGTCTTAAGGCCTGTCTCAGTTTCCTAGGAGACAGGTTGGCTGGTTCAAGCAAAGACAGGAGGTGAGAAGTCCTGGCCTCTGCTGGGCCCTGCTGGGTAGATCTCCAACAGCCCCTGGCCCCCATTCTCGCCTTGGGGGCCATCCTGGCACCTCCTCCCACCCTGCTGAGCTCTCAGGCCCACTGGCCCCAGTGCTGAGCTCCCCCCTCCTGGCACCCAGTCTGCCCGTGCGGGTCTCCTGCTCCCCTATCACGGGGACTCTGAGAGGTTCTGGGCCTCACCCCAAGCCCCGCCCGCTGCCTCACCCACTCCCTGTGGCTCCCGAGGGCAGAGCTGTGCCTGGCAGTTGGGGTTGGCCCAGGCTGCTTTAGCTCCTCAGTCCTTTCCCTTTCAGCGGGGCTGCAGGCTGCTGTGAAGAGGCTGCCGTCTTGAGCCCCCGCACCAGGGATCCCTCCTCCCCTCAGGTCTGGTCCTTCCCTGCTGCCCCTTGAGCAGAGCCATGGCTCTGAGGGAAAGTGATCGAGGCCAAGCTCCAAGGAAGGGGCTAAAGGAGAAGGTGCTGACGCTGGACACCATGAACCCGTGCGTGCGGAGGGTGGAGTATGCAGTGCGCGGTCCCATACTGCTGCGAGCCTTGGAGCTGGAACAGGAGCTGCGTCAGGTATGAGCTTGGGCCCCATGCTATCATTCCTGGGCTCCTGGGCTCCTGAGTTTGCCCCAGGCCATGTGGGGTCTAAGAGCTGTGAGAGTGATAGACAATATGGCTTCCTGCTGCTCTTGCAGGGTGTGAAGAAGCCCTTCACGGAGATCATCCATGTCAACACTGGGGATGCACAGGCCATGGGGCAGAAGCCCATAACCTTCCTGCGCCAGGTGAGGCCGCTGTGCTGCTTGTCCCGTCCCAGTCCTGCCCCCCCCCCCCCCCGTGACCTCAGCACTCTGTTGCCCTAGGTCTTGGCCCTCTGTGTTCACCCAGCTCTCCTGAGCAGCCCTGACTTCCCAGAGGATGCCAAGAGAAGGGCTGAGCGCATCCTGCAGGTGTGTGGGGGCCACAGCATAGGTGAGTGCCGGCACCAAACTGCGTCCAAGCCCCAGGGCCTCCTCCCAGGCTTGCAGAGGGCCCAACCTTGCCCTACACTCCCCGAGTCTAGGAGCCTATAGCATCAGCTCTGGCATCCAGATGATCCGAGAAGATGTGGCCCTGTACATCGAGAGGCGGGACGGAGGCATCCCCGCAGACCCCAACAACATCTTCCTGTCCACAGGGGCCAGTGATGCCATTGTGGTAGGCTGGGCGAGGGTGTGTGATGCCCAGCTTGGCTCAATCTGGTCTGGCTGCAGCTGCCCGAGGCGGGAGATGGGTGCAGACCTGGTCCAAACAGTCCATGCCGTCCTTCCTTCTCGCAGACGGTGCTGAAGCTGCTGGTGTCTGGCCACGGCTGCACGCGCACTGGAGTGCTCATTCCCATCCCCCAGTACCCGCTCTACTCGGCCGCACTGGCCGAGCTGGATGCTGTGCAGGTGGACTACTATCTGGATGAGGAGCATGCCTGGGCGCTCGACGTCTCTGAGCTGCGGCGTGCCCTGCGCCAGGCCCGTGACCACTGCCACCCACGCGCACTCTGCGTCATCAACCCAGGCAACCCGACCGGTGTGCAGCCCCTGCCCCTGCCCCTCCCTTCCTGGTCACTGTCCCTTGGACATGAGCTGTGCCCGAGTGACAGCAGTGCTGCTGTACCCATACCCCAGGGCAGGTGCAGACCCGCGAGTGCATCGAGGCCATTATCCGCTTCGCCTTTGAGGAGGGGCTCTTCCTGATGGCTGACGAGGTGCGCGCCGGGCATGCTGAGGCGGGCAGCAGCCAGGCAGCCAGCCCGGTGACCGCAGTCCCTCCGCAGGTGTACCAGGACAACGTGTATGCCGAGGGCTCGCAGTTCCACTCCTTCAAGAAGGTGCTCATGGAGATGGGGCCGCCATTTGCAGCGCAGCAGGAGCTCGCGTCCTTCCATTCCGTCTCCAAGGGCTACATGGGCGAGTGCGTGTGGCCGGGCGGGAGGCTGCAGGCCTCTCTCTCGGGCCCTGCTCAGTGTCCGCCTGCCCGGCAGGTGTGGGTTTCGTGGTGGCTACGTGGAAGTGGTGAACATGGACCCCGAGGTGCAGCGGCAGATGCAGAAGCTGCTGACCGTGCAGCTGTGTCCACCAGTGCCTGGCCAGGCCCTGGTGGACATGGTGGTCAGTCCACCTGCCCCTTCCGACCCCTCCTTTGCACAGTTCCACGCGGTGAGTGCTGATGGCCGAGGGCCAGGGCGGCTCAGGGTGGTGCCGTGTTCCCAGATGGCCGCGATCACCCCCTCTGTGGCTGCAGGAGAGGCAAGAGGTGCTGGGCCAGCTGGCAGCCAAGGCCAGGCTCACTGAGCAGATCATCAACAGCACTCCGGGGCTCCGCTGCAACCCAGTGCAGGGCGCCATGTACTCCTTCCCTCGAATTGAGCTGCCCCCACGCGCCGTGCAGCACGCGCAGGTGGGCGCAGGGCTGGCCAGGGCAGGGAAGAACAAACGAGACTCTCGGCTGACCTGTGCCTTCTGCACCCCCACTCCAGGAGCTGGGCCTCGCCCCAGATATGTTCTTCTGCCTGTGCCTCCTGGAGGAGACCGGCATCTGTGTGGTGCCCGGGAGCGGCTTCGGGCAGCGGGAAGGCACCTATCACTTCCGGTGAGGCTCAGCCCACACAGTCGGCTCCTGGCCACTGTGCCTCTTGGCTTACCATTGGCTCCTTTCAGGATGACCATCCTGCCCCCCATAGAGAAGCTGCGGCTGATGTTGGAGAAGCTGAGCCATTTCCATGCCAAGTTCACTAGCGAGTACTCCTGAGGTCACTGCCCTGGCCTGAACACGGTTCCAGGGCCCCTGGAGCCCGCAGTCCTGGCTTTGCTTACAGGCTGGGCACCGGACTCCGGCTCTCTAATAAAGCTGGATGCTATTCTGACTCTGGATGCAGTGTGTCCACTGATCTGCTGAGGGCAGCCTCCGGCCTCTGTGCTTGGGACTCCCCCGCGGGGACTCGGGGCTGCTCTCTGGAGGAGTGCTCAAGGAGGGCTTCCAGAGTTGGATCTTCTCAGCTAGTCTCCACCCAGTCGTCTGAGAGACAGGCCTCCATGAGCTGGGTCTGCTTCCCACTGGGTACATGGGAACCCATTCAGATAAAAATAATTGACTGGTAAGGAGTGTGAGGGCAGGAAGGGGCACCTGTGCCCCCTGGGGCTGCCTAGTGAGTCAGGAGGAGAGGGTCACGGGATCCTGGGGACAGGGGTCCCAGAGGAGCAACATAAAAAACAACTGTCATCCTACCTACTCAGGAGGCTGAGATCTGAGCATCACAGATCAATGCCAGCTCGGCAGGAAAGTCCCTGAGAACTCTTACCTCCAATTAACCACCAGAAAAATGGAAGTGGCTGAGGGACAGCGCCCAGGCCCAGAGTTCAAGCCCCACGACCGACACACACACACACACACACATCATGCCTATAATTCTACCTATTCAGAAGGTCAAGAGCAAAGCCAGCCTGGGCAGGAAATTCCATTAGATTCTCATCTTCAATTAACCATCAGAAAATCAGTAGAATTGTGGCTCAAAGTGGTAGAAAGCTGGTCTTGAGCAAAAAGACCTCAGAGATAGCACCCAGGCCCTGGGAAAACAAAAAAGAAGCCAGCACTTCCCTGTGCTGACCCACAGGACAAAGCTGCTGGCCCAGTTTCTACCTGGAAGCAGGGAAGTCATTTTGTGGCCTAGGGACAGTGAAAGCGATAGAGGGAAGAACAGCCCAGGGGAGGGAATGTGAAGGCCTGTCGTAGGCAGAGCAGACATGCTGCAGGTCACCCCGGTGGACACGGTGATCCCATTGATTCATAGATTTATTTCTAGTTGTGCTATGGTTGACCTGGGGCTGACTGGGCTATGTCCCAGCCCTTTTTATTCATTTTGGGCTGGTCCTGTGGCTTGAACTCAGTGCAAGACGTGCTCTGTCACTTGCGTTATAGCTCCACTTCTGGCTAATTGGAGATAAAATCTCATGGACTTTGCTGTTTGGGGTGGTTTTGACCTGCAATCCTCAGATCTCGGCCTCCTGGGTTGCTATGATTACTGGCATGAGCCACGGCGCTCCCTCCCATTGCTTTTTTTTTTTTTTTTATACCAGTCCTGCCTGAGCTGTTTTCTCAAGGCTAACTACCACATGAGCCATAGCTCCACTTTTGACCTTTTTTAAAGTAGTTTGAGTATCATGGACTTTCCTGCCCAGGCTGGCTTTGAACCGTTGTTGTCAGTGGCCTGAGTAGTCAAGAGTACAGGCTTGAGCCATGGGTGCCCAGCTACCAATACCTTTTATTTATTTTTATTTTTTTGGGTCCAGTCGTGGGGCCTGAACTCTGGGCCTGGGTGCTGTCCTCCCTCAGCTCTTCAGATCAAGGCTAGCACGCTCTACCATTTGAGCCATAGTGCCACTTCGGGCTTTTTTCTTTTTTTTGCTTATGTGGTGCTGAGGAATCGAACCCAGGGCCTCAGGCATGCAAGGCAAGCGCTCTACCACTGAGCCACCTTCATAGCCCCAATACCTTTTATTTTGAAGCCGGGTCTCTCCCTAATCGGGCCATGGACTTGTAATTCTCCTGCTCCCAACCCTGAAACTTGGACTTGTGGGCATGAGTCCCATTTTATAGCTAAGCAGGCTCAGCTCTGAGAATAGGTGTGTCAGCACCACAGTGACTCAGCAGCCATGTCTGCCAGAATACTTGGACTTGGCAGCTGGCCAAGGCCTCCAGTGCTGCCCCTTTGTAGGTTCCACCCCCCTCCATTTCACCCCATCACCGTTTTGGAAGTGTTTTTTTTGTTGGTTGTAGGGCTTGAAGTCGGGCCTAGGCATTGTCCCTGAACCTGTTTGTGCTCAAGGCTAGTGCTCTACCACTTCTCATTTTTGAGTAATTGGAGATGTCTCATGGGCCCTTCCTGCCTCCTGAGTAGCTAGGATGATGGGCGTGAGCCACCGGTGCTCAGCTGGAAGTTTTCGGGGTTTTTGGTTGGTTGTGGGCCTGGGTGCTGTCCCTCAGCCCTGTAGCTCGAGGCCAGCGCTCCACTGTTGGGCCCAGCGCCTCTTCCGGTTTTCTGGTGGTTCATTGGACATAATAGCCTCATGAACTTCTCCCACCTGGGCTGGCTTTGAACCGCAATCCTCAGATCGCATGCTTCTGAGCAGCCCGGATGCGGCATGAGCCGCCGATGGCAGCTGCTGTGGACTTCTCTCCAGATGGAGGAAGGCGGGCAGCTGCGGGCAGGGCCACCCGGAGCGGTGACCCTTCACCGGGCGGCTGCGGTGCCTGGGCTGGCCGCTGGGGGCGCCCGAGGGCCGGCCGAGC